TTATCTATTAATCATGGATTTTTCTGCCAACTTTTTCAGACTAAAGAATTTTTCTGATACGTAAGAAATTCAGAAGAAACACTAGATTTGCTTTTAAAAGAGTAAGATCCCTTTATGAAAAAGATGTTTGTTGTACAAATTAAATTAGGAGTTATTTTTCTCAAAAGCACTGATTTCTACATTTTTTGACTATTGTATTTCTACAAGTGTCATTGAAACTACTAATCAAAATGTCCAAAATAACTGAGTTAAGGTAAAATTTAACAAATACATATTGCACAAATCAAAATGCCTTTAAGTATGCAACCCTAACCATGAGTGTATATTTAGAAATTATATTCTTGTAGTATTTACTAATGTGTCATGAGTGTTATAAAACAAATACAGAAGTAGAACATTTTAGAGAACAGTGTAAAAAATAAATTTTGAAAGATCTAGTATTCTTTCTTTATTCCACAATAGGTGGTCTTGTTTAGACCCCACATGGGGAAAGACTGCCATAGACAGCACCTCTTCCATTTCTGGCCATCTGAACCCCTATCGAGCATTAATCTACTGGAAAGATAAAAGTGAATACTTTATTTTAGCTCGATAAATACAAATCAGTTCAATGTGGGCTAAACTATCATTATAAAAATTGTTCTAGAAATTCCCTTATTGTAGTGATATCATACAAATCTCTCACTTTTCTCCCTGATGTGCTTCTGGGGAAAGTGCTTTGCTAAAGCCTCCAGAAGCCACTTCAGTACTTCCTCAGAACATAGTTTCGTATCTCTTTGTTCAGTACATTGATCTTTGCTGCTTTTTTAAATGGCACATCATGTTCTACATTTGTGATTTATTTTGTATCTGGTCTGTCTCCCACAATACAAATTTAAACTTCCAAGGGCAGGCACAGCGTCTTCTGTGCCTCTCATTCCTCTGCAAGTAATGGGTGATCCTTAGAGTCGTGTTTACTCCGCTCTTCAGAGAAGGAGAGTAATTGATGATCTCACTCTGGTCAGAGAAAGCAAAATAACTTTAATGGTGTCAAACAAATCGCAGTGGCCTTTATTCATAACGCATTCTCTTGAAAAGCCAGCTTGCTGCAAATATACGCCCTGGACCAGTTGAGCAATAAAAAGAACAAGGGTTTGTGACACAATGTTCCAGGAAGTCTGCCAGTCACGTTCCTGGGCCTTCTGCAGGGTAGGAAAAGGGCAGCTAGCTTCAAATGCAAGCAAGCCCAGGAGAGAATGAGAAGAGCACAGTGTACCCTCAATACTTGTCAACTCTAACATGGGGATGCACTTGGTCACCATTTTCCAAAAGGAAGGTCAGGACCTCTGAACCCTCCTTGTGCAGAAGTTTTGAAGGTCTGAAGGTGTTAGTGGTCCACAGATTCACATTCAAGGTACTCAGAAAAACAACAACAAAAAATCAGGACTAAATTGAGCATTATGATATCACTGTTAGTCATTGCTCCAATAAAGTAATGAGTTATTTACTATAAAATGTGAAGTACATGGGAGAAAGTATTATGCTGCAAAGGACCATGAAATTTATTTTGTTTCAACAGAAAACACAGTATCTCAGAACTGGAAGAAAATTAATCTGCCCAACCCCTTTGTTTATGTCACCTTTTTTTTTTTATAGGTGAGGAAGCTGAGCATTGAAACTTGTATATTTTCTGAAATACACAAGTAGCTAGTGGAAGTGTCAGGATTGGATTCAGGGCAGAATAACATAAGAGCTAACACCAAGAACTAATTTATTTCATATTTAGTCCTTGGGTCTTTGAAATATTAATACGTCAGTGTTAAATAACTTGGGAGGTGGGAAAGGGGATAGGACCAGAAGAAATGTGTTGATTCGCCAAGTCATTTCAAGACTAAGACTCATATTTAAATTTTTTTATTGTTAAAGTATTACGTTTATGGTAATAAGTTACACCACTATAGAATTGCATTATAAAGAAAAAACTACTAACCTCAAGAGTTGTCACTGTAAACAGCTATGCAAGTATTATTTCAAATCTTTTTCTATGTTAGCCTAATACGCATGCGCACACACTCATTTGTATGATACATTTATGCACATATATAAACTAAGATGTTTTTTGTTTCAGAATGGGTACATACCAGGCAAACTGCTCAGTAATTTGCTGATTTTCACCTAAGAATAAATCAGAGACGTCTTCCTATGGCAGTATGCATAGATCTGCCTCGTTCTTTTTAATGGCAATATATTTCATAGTATGTATGTACTGTTGTTTATTCTCCTATTGAGGGAAAAGTAGGCCAGTTCCAATTAGTTACTCTTAGAGAAAATGCTGCGTTAAACATATGAACCCCAATTGTGATGCTATTTCTTCAGGTCAAATATCTAAAAATGAGATTGCTGGGTCCTTTGTTGAGTTATTTTAACAAGACTTGTAATACAGGTGTTTGGGGTTTTTGTTTGTTTGTTTTCAGCGGGGCTTTTTTCCCACGCATTTAAGTAAAACCTTTAAGAAACTACTTAAGCTAGAATTACACCCCTGGTGTGTAGTCTCTTGTTTTCTAAGACCACTTTTAAGATCCCTTAATTATAAGGCTTTTTAAAACTTTACCTTGAAAACCAATATAATGAATGAAAAATGAGTACAAGTTCATGAATATTCATGTCCCACAGCACATGTTTGGAAATAACTTTCATTTTCAAACTCTGACCTCGTTTTGACCTTCAAAGTTATACTACTACATTGTGATACAAAACAACTTTACATCACAGACTGTAAAACAAAAGAGCAAGTATCAAAGATAGCATATTTGGTGATATCAACTGGCCCTGTCCTTCTTCACCTCTCATTCCTCTCTTGGTATTTGCTAGGCATCTCTAACATTAAATTTTAAAATCCTTCACATGTGCCAGGTGTCACATATACCCCTGAGCAACAGCAGCAGTTACAAACCTATTCAACCACACTGCAGGAAAATTTGATCTTAGTCCATGAGTGCTTTGTAGAATTTAAAATTGGAAAAGACTTTAGAATAAAGACAGTAAGAAAACTAACTTTTACCAGAACACCTGCATGTGTAGACACTCTTTGGAGATCACCTCTTCTGTTTTTCATAGCCTTCTCACAGGGGAACTATCCATGGGTCCTAAATGAAGATTGTTCAAAGAAGCTTACACGACTGGTAAATGACGGATAAGGAATGCAAATCCAGATCTTTCTGACTCTAAAATCTATGTTCATTCTGTTCCTGGAACTGCCTTTGTAACTGTCCACTCGGAATAAATGTTCTCTCATCTATACCAGCTGTCTCCAAACTTTTTAACACCAGAGACCGGTTTTTGTGGAAGACAACTTTTCCACAGACTGGGGGTGGGGGATGGTTTTGGGGTGATTTAAGCACATTACACTTATTGTGCACTTTATTTCTTTTATTATTACATTGTAATATATAATAAAATAATTATTCAACTCACCGTAATGTAGAATCAGTGTGAGCCCGAGCTTGTTTCCCTGCAACTAGATGGTCCCATCTGCGGGTGATGGGAGACAATGACAGATCATAAGGCATTAGATTCTCATAAGGAGCATGCAACATAGATCCCTCCCATGCACAGTTCATAATAGGGTTCACACTCTTTTGAGAATCTAATGCCGCTGAGAGGTGACAATGTGCTAGCAGCCCTCACTCTCAGCGCCTCCTCAGCCTCCGGACTAGGCGTCCACTCTGGCGGCGCTTGAAAAGCCCTTTAGCCCGCCACGGCACCGGCACCCTGGGAGCACCTCTCTGGGCTGGCTGAGGCCAGAGCCCCCTCCCTCTGCTTGCCCGGAGGTGTGGAGGGAGAGAGAGGCGCCGGCGGGAACTGGGGCTGCGCGCTGCGCTCGCGGGCCAGTGTCAGTTCCGGCGGGCGCGGGCGCTGGCGCGGGGTTGGTGGGCCCCGCCCACGGAGCGGCCGGACGGCTCCGCCGGCCCAGGGCAGTCAGGGGGCTTAGCACCCGGGCCAGCAGCTGCGGAGGTTGCGCTGGGTCCCCCAGCAGTACCGGCCCTTCCGCGACCACTCAAATTCTCGCCAGGCCATAGCTGCCTCCGCCCGGGGCAGGGCTCCAGACCTGCAGCCAGCCATGTCTGAGCTCCTCCCCCTGCGGTGGATTCCCGCGCGGCCTGAGCCTCCCGGATGGGCGCCGCACCCCGCTCCGTGGCGCCCGGTCCCATCGACAGCCCAGGGGCTGAAGAGTGCAGGGGCGTCTCGGGACTGGCGGGCAGCTCCGCCTGCAGCCCTGGTGCAGGATCCACTGGGTGAAGCCAGCTGGGCTCCTGAACTGGATGAGGACTTGCAGAACTTTTGTATCTAGCCGGAGGATTGTATGTGCACCAATCAGCACTCTGCATCTAGCTGACCTAATGGGGACTCGGAGAACTTTTATTTCTAGCCAGAGGATTGTATGTGCACCAATCAGCACTCTATGTCTAGCGCGGGGTTTGTGAATACACCAATTGGTAATCTGTATCTAGCTAACCTAGTGGAGACTTGGAGGACTGGCACCCTGTGACTCTGTGTCTAGCTCAAGGATTGTAAATAGACCAATCAGCTCTTTGTAAAATGGACCAATCAGCAGGATGTGGGTGGGGCCAGATAAAGGAATAAAGCAGGCTGCCCGAGCAAGTCAGCGGCAACCCCCTGGGGTACCCTTCCACACTGTGAAAGGTTTGTTATTTGGCTCTTTGCAATAAATCTTTCCGCTGCTCACTCTGGGTCCACGCTGCCTGGTTATGAGCTGTAACACTCACCCTGAAGGTCTGCAGCTTCACTCCTGAAGTCAGCGAGACCACGAACCCCCGGGGAAGAAGGAACAACTCCAGACGCGCTGCCTTTGAAGAGCTGTAACACTCACTACGAAGGTCCGCAGCTTCACTCCTGACAGCAAGACCACAACCCACCAGAAGGAAGAAGCTCCAAACACATCTGAACGTCTGAAGGAACAAACTCCGGACACACCGTCTTCAAGAACTGTAACACTCACCGCGAGGGTCTGCAGCTTCATTCTTGAAGTCAGTGAGACCAAGAACCCACCAATTCCGGACACACCGCCCCTAATCTGACAGGAGACGGAGCTCAGGCGGTAATGCAAGCAATGGGGAGCAGCTATAAATACAGATGAAGCTTTGCTCGCCTGCCCCTCACCTCCTACTGTGCAGCCCAGTTCTTAATAGTTTGTGGACCAATACCAGTCCATGACCCAGGGATTGGGGACCCCTGATCTACACCATATAGATGAGAAAATATAAATGATTTTTCTGAAGCCTGCATAGCTAGCAACCGTTCTAACTTCCAATCCAACATAACATATAGTGAGGGTTTAGTGTGATTTTGCAAATGGCCTTAATCTTGCCTAACACTCAATATTAAAATAGGTTTCTGTCTCCTCCTGCTGCTTCAGAGTCGCTATGTTCCTACTTGTCTCCAGGGCCTGGGTTTCTAATGTGGACGTCACAAACATTCCTTCTGTCTAGTTACTTTCCCTCTAAAGACTCTCCATCTCTCCACGGTATAAGCATAAACCACAATTGCATTTTGTGTTCTTCTTTCCATTTTTACTGCAGAATTAAAAATCCAGCAATATGTAACACCATGTGTAAATCCACACATGGCAAAAGAGAAAGGAGAAATTGAACAGCATGTTGTGGCTGACATTGCTCAGATACTCCAAGGAACTGGAATAGTAATTTTACAGATGAGATGGAATTAGGGCTCTCAGTTTCAATGATGAAGAGATAGGTCCCTGTAGTGGCCTCTTAGGAAACCATTGCGGTCCTCATTGTCATTAAAAATACTCATAAACTCTTCAGCAATAAAGGCTGTGGCTGCTATCTTCTGGAACTTCTGAAGAGGCTGACTGAAACTTAATGTTTCACAGATTTTTTACAAATAACCACTGAATAAACAATAACTTCACCAAGGTTCCCCTTGGTTTGATTTTATCTTCAGTTAGCTACTAGATTTGAGCTGTAGCAATCTGTATATTAGATCCACATACTGCATAACTTTTTACTTTACTAGGAATTTATGGCCTATGAGAGGGCTCTCATTATATTTAAAGCATTCATCAAATGAACAAAACTAAGTGGGTTTAAGGAGAATTTACTATACACACTTAGAGGAACTAAATAACTGACCCTTTCCTTCCAGTTAAAGCCACCAACTTGAAAATTATGTACTATTGTATTTCCTAGTAAATTGGAGATAATAATCATAGTAGTAATATTTTGTCTATATATTAAAGAAGACAGGAAAAATGAATTGTTTTTTAGTTTTCTTTTGAAATGTATCTTCTACAGATATTTTCTGGAACTCTTCTATATGGCAAAATTTATAATTCTGGCTTCAGGGGCTCTGTTCTCACTGTCTTTCTTGCCACATGGAATGAGCAGAAAGATATTCATGAAAGATTGACTAGGTCCAATTTTCTATGAGTAAAAACAACAGCAACATCAATATTTCAGGATCTGAAAAATAAAAAAAAAAAATCTTGGCTATTCTCTTTCCTTGAAAAGATTGTTAGAAATCATTGCACTTTAATGAATTCAAAATAACACAAGAGATTTTGGGGGCTGTTTGGCTTCCGAAAGTGCAGAGATAAATCAGATTTTCCATAACTTACATTTGAGGAAAAGAAATCTGATACCGTCCCTCTGTAGACCCATGGCAGCGAGAGGTACAAAGTAACTGGTGATCTTTTCGTCACGGTCCTGGTGGACTCCTGGTTTCCAGGCAGTTTCAGCTGTCACATTTGCTTAGAGTTTACTGAGCTGTTTTTAGTTACTCATTCAAATATTCATAAGAAGCGAGGACTGCGGTTTGCTGTTTGGTAACAACTTCATTTTCAGCTCACACTCAGCTTGTCCTTGCCGACTGCTTCTTTGGACCCTGATTGGGCTTTACGTGGTCATGTGGTGTTTCAAGGGTAATGGGGTTTCCTTGGGAGTAGGCAAAAGAAACATGTTCCATCTTTTATCTTTGCTTGGCTGGATGATGAAAATAATTACAGAAGACAGTTATGGATTATTTGAGACAAGTGAAATAATCAAACTTATATCAAGCACTGCTTTGTGCTACCCAAGGCGGCAGATCCTTTAATTATTCACCTTGTGAGACTATGTACACCTCAGAAAATACTAAAATGGCAACATATTAGCGCAAATATTTACACTATTAGTGCAAATATTACAATATTGTTCTTGAATACAATAATGAAAGTATGTTTAGTCTCTTGATATGTTCTTGGAAGAAACCGATGGACTGTACCATTTCTTAGCACAGGAGAATCATAACTCTTCATTAGAGACTCTCTATTATTTGATTAAAACTCTGATTAAACAAATCCTTTAGGTAGACAAATTCTACTGCTTAGTGGGGGGCTAATATCTAATATATATGAAATAGCTGCAGTAATAGTATAAATAAGCAATAGTATAATACACAAAATACAGTTCTTTAATGAAACTAATATCAGCTATACACTGTAATTTTATCATTAGGTTGCTGCAAAAAGACTTGTCAATCAAGATACATTTCTAAAATAACTTTATGCTTTGACATTAAAACTCTGAATTATCTGGACTATGCTGTACACCATATTTAGAGAAAGGGATTTTTTTTTTACCAATTTGTTATTTACATCAAATAATGCTCATTTTACAAAAAGAAATGTATGCTTTTTTATTGAATTTGCAACTACTTTTTTTTAAAGACTACCTTACATTTGCACAGTTCTTCTCAACATGAATACACATTCTGATGCTCCTCAGAGCATTTGCATATTCTATAAAAAGACTGAGCAGGTAAATTCTGTATTATTTCATTTGGATTAGGGGAAAAAACAACCCTATCTAAGGCAAAGCAAAAGGAATTTCAATCTCACAGCCACTGCCCGATAAAAACCTGGAAAAGACCATTAATCTCATTTGTTTTCATTATAGCAAGGCTCGTTATCACAACTTTAGTTAAGGAAGTGCCAACATTTACACCAGCAATTATATATCAGTGAAATTAGTTCTAAAAAGTGAAGCTCCTGGTACTATAAACTCTACATTATTTGCTGAGGTCTTTATATGTTGGAATGGAGGAGGGTGCATGTTTTGAATACCTGATAAAATAAGCAATTCCTTAAATAATGCCTAGCAGACACTGTAAATAATATTAATTCCTAAATGAAGTACCAACATTTCTAAATATATGATATGTTTTATCTTTTAAAAGTAGATTTTTTTCTTGACATGTTTCTTCTATCTTTGCAAGAAAGTATGAGAAAATGTAAATTCACTCTTTCCTGTTAATCTTTTTAACAGTTCCATGAATGAAAGCGCTATCCAAAGTAGAGACTTCAAACACCAACGGATGGTAAAGGGAATGCATGTTAGAAACATGCTGTACCTTAAACAGAGGCAAAGACAACGAAGGCTTCATTAAATCAGAACATCTAGCTCTAGTGACATGAGGGAATCCGAGGACTGTGACCTACAGTCCATGTGGTAAAATGCTGGTCTTCTGTGCAACTTAGAAAAAAGGTTAGAATGAATATTTCAGAAGTGTCCTTCTCACCGAAAGCAAATTTAATTTCAAGTCTTAGGAGAAAATAAATGGTTAAGATTTAGTAGGGTTTCACTTTTTCAAAAATTTAAATACTATGACTATACCGTTTATACTAGGAAAGGCATTCCTTTCTTCCCCACCAGCAATGAGATATCCCAAGGCAGGGTCCAGAAACTGCATCAGTCTAAGGGAGGTAAAATAACTTCCAAAGGGGAGATCTGAATGCCAGGTAGTTTATTCAGTGAATGCAGGATGATGATGCACTTAATAATTACAATTATTTATTGAAGGCTTTGTCTGTGACAAGCTCTTTACATCTCTCATCTGATTTAGTCCCCATGTTAACTCGGTAAGGCAAGAATATCTCCATTTTATAAATGAGAAGACTGAGATTCAGACATATTATATGAAATGGTTAAGGTCACCTTCCTAGCAAGTGGCAGAGCGAAAATTCAAACTCAGGTTACCTAAATACCATCTACATGCCCCTTTCACTATATAATACTGCTTGAATTAATAGTTAATAGGCACTATCCTGTCCCCTTGGACTCATGTAGACAACTATTTCAGCAATGTGGCACTTATCAACAAGAACCTCTATGGAAGTGTGATCCAAATGTAAGTGAATTTTAAGAGAAAACCCAAAGAGACAAGCTGGATGTGATCCTAGCTCCTGCAGCCAATGGAGACTTAAGAGTGGGAAGAAGGAAGCAAAGTTGGAAGAAAAGGCTTCTGAGCAAAAATCAATGAAGAGATAGTCTTATAAAAACCCTGGTCACGCAGTACCAGAAGGCAGTTTGCATTCATTTTAGCAGAGGAGCTGTAGACCATGTAAGCCTTAGAAGAACGATGTAGTAATGCATAAGGCTAGGAGCATTAGCACAATAGTAGTATACTTGATTCATCTTGACAAGTTCAAGACCTTGCTTTACACACGAGACTGAAAGCTCTCAGTCATTGGTACATAACGAATGATAGAAGAAAATGACCAGTCCATCAGAACTTGACAGGGATCCACATGGAGTTGCTACAGTGGAGCAGAAGACGCTGCTGAGCCAGATACTGATACAAGGGGACTCAGAGCGGGACCACATGTGAAGCCCAGCCATTATTCAATGACTGAAACCCAGCCATTCTTGTCTGAAGACTCAACCAATCCAGTTTCATGAGAAGAAACTGGGAATTAATGTGCCAAAACTACATCCTAATTGATCTATAATATCATTAGAAGTTGTGATGGTTAATATTGAGTGTCAACTTGATTAGATTGAAGGATGCAAAGTATTGTTCCTGGGTGTGTCTGTGAGGGTGTTGCCAAATGAGATTAACATTCGAGTTAGTGGACTGGGAGAGGCAGACCTACTTCTTCTGTCTGCTTTATTCTAGCCACACTGGGAGCTGATTAGATGGTGCCCACTGTCTAATGGGTACACCACCCACTCAATCCGAGTGGGCACCATATACTCAGCTGCCAGTGGCTAGAATAAAGCTGCACTGCACTCAATCTGTGTGGGCACCATCTAATCAGCTGCTGGTACAGCTAGAATAAAGCGGGCAGAAGTTGGAAAAAGTGGACTTGCTGAGTCTTCCGGCTTCCATCTTTCTCCCGCAGTGGATGCTTCCTGCCCTTGATCATCAGACTCCAAGTTCTTCAGCTTTTTGGATGCTTGGATTGACACCAGTGATTTGCCAGGGGTTCTCGGGCCTTTGGCCACAGACTGAAGGCTGCACTGTTGGCTTCCCTACTTTTGAGGTTTTGGGATTCAGACTGGCTTTCTTGCTCCTCAGTTTGCGGACAGCCTATGGTGGAACTTCACCTTGTGACTATCTAAGTCAATTCTCCTAATAAACTTCCCTTCATATGTACATCTATCCTATTAGTTCTGTCCCTCTAGAGAATCCTGATTAATACAGAAGTTCATGCATATATGTATATTCGAGTATAAGTCATTTTCAAAACTTTACATGCTTTACCCTATTACATTAGTCTGTTCTCATGCTACTAATAAAGACATACCCAACACTGGGTAATTTATAAAGGAAAGAGGTTTAATTGACCCACAAGTTCCACATGGCTAGGGAGGCCTCACAATTATGACAGAAAGCAAATGAGGAGCAAAGTCATGCCTTACATAGCAGCAGGCAAGAGAGCTTGTGCAGGGGAACTTCCATGTATAAAACCATCAGATCTCATGAGACTTAATCACTACCACAAAAACAGTATGGGAAGAGCCTGCCTCATGATTCAATTACCTCCTATTGAGTCCCTCCCAGGACACATGGGGATTATGGGAACTACAATTCAAATGAGATTTGGGTGGGGACACAGCCAAACGATATTACCTGTTTAACTGATTTTTAGTTTTCATAAAATCACAAGCTAAAGATTACTGTAAGTAAAAAGTGAACAAAAGTACCAAATTAAACACACCCAAATGATAGTTGAAGGTGTCATTCTGATACCCAGATTGGGGTAGGCCACATATAATAACATTTAACCTTTTGTACCTTTTATTGAGCATCCACCAGGTTTCAACAATCCTAATCCTTAAAATAATTCTGCAAATAAATATTAATATCATGCTTTATGTAGGAAAGAAAGCTAAATTTAAGAGAAATTAAGAGACTCTCTCGAGGTCTTTCAGTTACTGCTTATAGTATCAAGATTTAGATCCCAAAGCAGGCTTTAAAGTCCATGCCATTGTTACACGGCAAGTTACCCACCCCCACAAGATTATGCATCAATACTCAGAGAGTGGACCTGAGCATTGACAATTATCGGGTGCTTATGCTACCTTTTATTTAAGAAACAAGTCTGAAATCTAACCAGAAAATGTTTCAATACTTCATAATTTCCCTAAGATCAGGAATCAATAAAAAAGGAAGATGAGTGAAAATATAGTCAATGAACTTTAAAATGAAGCTGTGTGATATGGCTTGGCGCTGTGTCCCCACCCAAATCTCACCTTGAAGTGTAATAATCCCCATGTGTCAAGGGGAGGAGCAGGAGGAGATAGTGGAATCATGGGGACAGTTCTCCCTGTGCTGTTCTCGTGGAGGTGAATGAGTACTCATGAGATATGATGGTTTTATAAGGGGCTTCCCCCTTCAATAGGCACTCATTCTCTCTCCTGCTGCCCTGTGAAGAGGTGCCTTCTGCCATAATTTTAAGTTTCCTGAGGCCTCCCTAGCCATATGGAACTGTGAGTCAATTAAACCACTTTCTTTATAAATTACCCAGTCTTGGGTATTTCTTCATAGCAGCCTGAGAATGAACTAATATGCTATGTTTAATGATACCTAACGTTAAAATGAGTGATTAATTCAAATTACATTGTAGAATAATCAATCTAACATGATGCCTGGGATCTAATAAAATGTCCATCATTTTTTATTAATTCTGAGATGAGTCTGCTTTTGTGTTTTTGCATTA